CTGTAATCCCAGCCCTTTGGGAGGCTGAGGTGAGCTGATCACTTGAGTACAGGAGTTCTAGACCAGTCTGGGCAATATGGCAAAACCCCGTCTCTACAAAAAATATAAAAAGGAGCTGGGTGTGGTGGCATGCACCTGTAGTCTGAGCTACTCAGGAGGCTGACGTGGGAGGATCACCTGAGGCCAGGAGGTCAAGGCTGCAGTGGGCTGTGATTGCACCACTGCACTTCAGCCTGGTTTGGAGTGAGACCAGCCTGGCTGGAGTGAAACAGAGTGAGACCCTGTTTCAAAAATTAAGAAGAAGAAGAAGAAGAAGAAGAAGAAGGAATAATAGAATTATCACTATTTTGCTATCCCTAATGAAATAACACATATAGGCAACAATCCTTGATGCTGCTAAAACCATTAGCTATAAAGCCGATAGGGAGAATGGGGAGATCTAAGTGGGATGAACCAGGCTAACAGCACTTAAACCTATTGATCAATCTTAGCGTCATTAGAAGTGAGGTATTCCAATATCATGCACCTCATGATGGGATACAATAGTAAGTACGCAGCACCACCTATATTCTTAAAAAAACTTGAACTTGAATCTAGCTTGAATTTCTCTAGTGCTTACCACCAGTCTTCAGAAATATGGGGAATAAGAGAACAAGTGAAATGGCACTGCAAGGAAGCAACCAGCCAAATTCAGAATGTGAAACTTTCTACAGGAGAGATGACCTAAGGTGGGGAAGGAGAATTCTCTAGATTAAAAAAAAAATGTAAGAGACATGTTCGGTCAACAGCAATATGTGGACCGTGTCTGTATCTTGATTTGAGGAAATTAACTGTAAAAAGAAACTTTTGAGACAATTAGAAAAATGTTTCTTTTCCTGGATGTTAGATGATAGTCTTGCTAATTTTGTTAGGTGTGATAGCAGCATTGCGGTTACGTAAAAAGTATCTTCAATTGATAGAGATGTAATCTAACAGTAATGATGGTTAAAATAATACACCGTCGCCGGGCACGGTGGCTCACGCCTGTAATCCCAGCACTTTGGGAGGCCGAGACGGGTGGATCATGAGGTCAGGAGATCAAAACCATGCTGGCTAACACAGTGAAACCCCGACTCTACTAAAAAATGCAAAAAATCAGCTGGGCATGGTGGTGGGCTCCTGTAGTCCCAGCTACTCGGGAGGTTGAGGCAGGAGAATGGTGTGAACCCAGGAGGCAGAGCTTGCAGTGAGCCGAGATTGTGCCACTGCACTCCAGCCTGGGCGACAGAGCGAGACTCCAAGACTCCGTCTCAAAAAGAAAGAAAAAAAAAAACGCTGTCTGGTTGAAGCTTTCGGGCTTGGATGGCTGGGCGGTGCAGCCCAGTGTCCACCTGCAACAGCTGCCTTCTGTGTCAGTCCTCTGCCCCGCCAAGGCTGTAGAGCTTGTCCGTGCATGTAGCAGGATGCTCCGAGAAGCCGCGCACCGGCCACACCAGGGTCCACCTCAGTACTCTCCTCTGCAAGCCCTGTGATGGGGCCACTTAACCATCTGCCTTGCCCTGGGTGTCCGCACCAACCAGCCCTTCTACCACATTGTGGCTGCTCACAAGTGTCCCAGGGATGGCCGTTTTGTAGAGCAGCTGGGCTCCTATGATCCATTGCCCAACAGTCCTAGAGAAAAACTTGCTGTCCTCAAACTGGACTGGATCTGTCATTGGATTGGCTGTTGGGAAAAGCTAGTGGGTCTTGATGGATTTTTCCCTCTGCATCCTATGATGATCACAAATGCTGTAAGACTATGAAGGAAACGGGCACGTGAAGTCCTCTAAGCTTCTCATAAAACAGATGCAGAGGCTACAGATACAGAGGCTACAGATACACAAGTGAGCTGACTTCAGTGAGCATAGCAGTAGGAACAGTGTCAAGGTCCTCTTAAAATACTGTGCAGAGATCTTAATTTTGTTAGATTAGGAGGTCAATAAATGGAGTGTCCTGAGTCACCCTTGCTCTTCTGGCCTGGCCTGCACAGGGCCCAGGGAGAGATTTGTTCTTGTGTGATATAAGGCTGGGGTTAGGTATTAATTAGCTTTTTTGGACTTTGTCTTGGGAAAGACAGTGGCTGCGGGAGGACTGGACTTTCGAGTTGGGCTCTGGGTCTCTTGGACAGCTTTACAGTCTACTGACTTCCAAGACTTACTGCTTCAAAGCCCCCAGCCAGACTGTTCATGGCCCATCCATATCTTCATGTTCATCCCACAAGTGCAAGAACAGTTACCTTTCTTATTTTGTAATTGGAGATTTATATTGTCTTGTTTAACACATATGCTCAAATATACAAAAGGTAGATTTATTATGAAAATTGCTTTTTGGCTGTAATAACCTACCTTTTAAGAATGAGAAAGTGCTGGGCTTAAGGGAATTCAGAATGAATCAAGATCGAACCATTCAAATGTGGCTGCAGTTTCTGCATGTATCATAGATGGGATCCTTCTGAGAATACTGGAATAGGGAATTATGATACCAAGCCAATTCAGCTGTGAACCTTATTCTTGTATTTTTCTTTCTTGCTGGTAATTTTATGGAGCAGGTTAAGAAAGCTGCTCTGTGTTAGGATAAACTGTATGCCACTAATTTTGAAGACCTATGATGAGTGATACATTTTACTTCTTGTATCTTTTCCTTCCTACCTTGATGCCAGTAATTTATAAGGGATCTATATAGTTTGAATGTATTTGAGTAACTTCAGTATACTTTAGCTCTACTTTTTGATTTGACTCAAAGAACCATCCATTGGTCTCAGTATTCCATGTGTTTTAAAAGCCTGAAGTCAGTGAGATGAAATTCAACATCAAGAATCTGAAGTAAAGTAACTTGAAAGAATGTAAAGAAAACATTGGGACAGTGGCTTTTGTGCCTGTAATCTCAGCACTTTGGGAGGCTGAGGTAGAAGTATTGCTAGAAGCCAGAGTTTGAGACCAACCTGGGCAACCAGCAAGACCCCAATTCTACAAAATATTAAAAAAATTAGCTGGGCATCATGGTGCTTGCCTGTAGTTCCAGGTACTCGAGGGGCTGAGGCAGTAAGACCACTTGAGCCCAGGAGGCCTGGGTGACAGAGTAAGACCCTATGTCAAAAAAAAGAAAAAAAAAAGAAGAAGAAAAAGAAAACATTAGGTAGTATTAGGTATTTTGGCTAGAGCATAATAATTAATTTGATTTTTTGGTTTTCAAAAATTTGAGCTGCAATGAAAGGATATTTCAATGTGTTAAAAAATAATAATACACTGTCTTGGATTTGCTATAAAACAATCCAGGAAAGAGTGGGTAGATAAATGAGGTGGCAAAATATTAAAACAATCACTGAAGCTGGGTGGTAGGTACATGGAGATTTATTCTATTGTTTTTTCAACTTTGGTGTATGTATGATCATTTCCATAATAGGTTTTATTATTAAATTTTATTATTTTATTATTAAGATAAAATAAAACAAACTAAAATAGTGTTTTATAATTAGACAATTTGTGGCTCATTTTTACAGTTCCTTGATTACAGGTTTTAATGCACAAAAATGTTTGGTTTACTTTGCTCTAAGACTTGGCCCTGATCTCACCACCTCCCTGAAATGAAGGGCCTTCCCTGACTGCCCTCCTCAGAAAGAATCTCCCTGCTCTGAAGTTCCAGGAAGATCCTGGTCCTTGTGTCACTCTAGCATGTATCCAGTATAGCCTGGTACCATCAGCTGGCTTTTTGTGCCCTGAAGTCAGGACTTTCGAATCCAGCAGTCCTGGGTGTGGTGCCTGAGTCTGCTGCTTATTGCTTGTGTGATGTTAGAGATATTCTTTAGCCTTGGTTGTTTCTCTGCAAATGGACATGGGGTAATGGTTGTTGTCAAGGACAATAAATAGTAGGTGTCATCTCTTCCTCTAAAATGTCAGGGTTGGTGTTGCAGGTTGCATTGTGTCTCACAACTTCATATGTTCAAGCCCTAACCCCCAGTGCCTTAGAATGTGCTCTTATTTGGAAACGAGACCACTGCACACGTGCTAAGTTAAGATTATCCTGGAGTAGGGTGGGCTCTGATCCATATGACTGGTGTCCATGTAAGGGGGGACATTTGGACCCAGTTAGGTATACAGGGAAAATCCCATGTGAACAGGAAGGTGGCTGTCCATAAGCCATGGAGTGAGGCTTGGAATGAATCCTCCCCTCACAGTCCTCGGAAGGAACTGACTCTGCCGATGTCTTGATTTTGGAGGCCTTAGTCTGGAGGCCTATGATATGATGCGTTTCTACTGTTTCAGCTGCCCGGTTTATGGAACTTTGTTACGGCAGACCTAGAAAACTCTCAGAGATGGGGTCCCCATCTTTGTGTTCCCTTCAGCACCTGCTCAGTGCCTTCTTCTCATCCCAAAGGGAGGCCACAGCTGTTGTTCAGGATGTTGATGTCATTGATGACAAGGAAAAGCTTCAGAACTGGGCTATGAGCCCCCATTGCTGCACTCCCATTGTGGGTTCTCAGCTTGGCCACTCGTTTGTCTGTCAGTATTACTCATGCATTAGGGTCAACTCCCTCTCACCCCTCCATGTGTTCACATACACACAGACACCATGCATGTACTCATACACATGTACACATACACACCACACATGTACTCTCACATATGTACACATATACACACTATGCACGTACTCACACACACATGTACACAGTCTCACCATGCATGTACTCACACACATGTACAGTCTTCATCACACATGTGCTCTCATGTAAACATACACACCATACATGTACTCTCACACATACACATCATACATACATGCGCACACACAGGTACACATAAATGCCATGCATGTACTCACATACATGTACACACATACGTACCATACATGCACTCACGTACACACATACATATGTACACACATACACATGATTTTGTTTCTACTACTTTAGAGCAACAATCTTGAACTATTTGCTAGAATGCTCCTGACCTAGTAAAATCTCAGGAAAGGACAAGTCCTTACAAGTTGTAGAGAAGTGATGTATTAACCAATTGGCCTAAACAAAATTCTGTGAGCCCAGTTGTACAAATGTCTGAAAGGTTAGGTCCACATGAGTTAATTCTGAGAAAAAAATGAACTCCTGGATTCTAGAAATTGAGGTTACAGAGCTTGGGTCTGGTTGGGAGTGGAAGACCCAGGAATGTAATCTTGGGGGCTCCAGATAGTTCCATTTCTCCAAGGGCCCTGACCCTGTGTCATTGCTGTGTCCAGCCCCTAAGGGGTGACTTTGACTTGGCAGAGTTCTTTGTGGTGGCTTTGGCTGCAGTGGTTCTAACAAATTCAGCCTGATAGTTTAAGGGAGCTCTAGTTCCTGGGTCCATTCTAACTTCCTGACTTTGCAAATCCCTGGAGTGGCCTAACTAACTAAAGGAGCCACTCCTAACTACGAATGTGACCTCAAGAACAGGAAGGGGTGCAGAAACCCAGCTCCAGGGTAATGGTGAGCAGGTAGGCACAGGGGTCTTCAATGCCAGTGTATGTGGTTTTTGGCCAGTGGCGACAATCTCATCCCTGAAAGTTTTGGGAGACCAGTTTATGTTATCTTGAAGAACTAGGGATTTCTCGTAACTATGGAAACATAAATCTCGGCATTAAAGAGTCAGAGAGAAAACTGCTATTGTTGCCTTGACAACCCATACAACCCCAAGTCTTTGTGGTTAGGAGTAGAGATAATGTGCCTTCAATCTTTTAAGCTAATTTACTTGTGGGAAGGAGAAGTGGAAGTGGGCTTGGGCACCCTGTGGAAGCAGATGCTGCCCTGACTAGGTGTGTGTGTATGAGTCTTCCCAGGCCCACCCTGCCGAGTGGCAGGTGTCCAATTCTGCCTAATAAATGGCCGAGATGTCCTGGAGAGACTGTACCAAAGGACTGGCTCTCATGTTCCAAGGAGGCCCTTGTTTCTTGACTCTGTAGGCCCGTAAATGGAATGACTTCCACTCCTGTATTGCAGAAGTTAACTGTTTTGAGCTGTTTTTGGAGGGGATGTGGCTACCTGAAGGGAGCCGAAATCTTTTGTTACTGGGACAGATACTCAAAAGCCCTTTCCCTCTCCAAGTTCCTGCCCCTCACTTTTTGTAAGAAAGGCTGGGAATTTAAGGTGCGCAGCTTCAGATGAAATGAAGGGTTCTGAATGCATCACACAGCTTCTGCACCTGAGGCACTGTTGCCCTTGAACCTGCTGATAAATGCCCATAAGCACTCAGAGCTCGGGGCCACGTTTAGGTTTCATTTCTATGTTCCATCAAGAGATTATTTTTTCTTCCTTAATATCCTCAGCGGATATTGTGCCTCAACGTGGCACAAAAATTTCTGAGTTGATGTCCAGATGAAATCTGCGTGGAGAGTGTCCTCATGGCAACTCTGGGGGACCGGCGAGAGGCTTCCTGTTCTAACTAGAGAACAATGACATCGCGTCTTCTTGAGGCTGAATTGCCAGCTCTCTTTGTTGGGGAAGATAGCAGCGATAGATGAAAGGAAAATTGGAGGAGAGGCTTTTTGAAAATCATTACATTGCCAAGTGTGGGATTTTGGATCCCTATTCAGTGGAGAGAACATTGAGTAAAATGAGAAAACAGCACACACAGAAATGCCTGTGGTGCGGCCGATGAGAGGGGCAGGTGGAGCGGTTCTACCCACCCTACCACGATCCTGGCCCTGTCTCCACAAGAGGTACCTTTCGACAGTTATCCGAATGTAAAATACATTCATATAGAGAGAATGGTGTGTTCAGAAACCTGGAGAAGGCAACCAAATGGCCACTCCACTTTGATGTGCTGAGGGTTTGTCTTCTAGCCCGACCCCAGCTTTCTCCCCATGATCTGAGAAAATGGCTTCCCCCTCCCGGGGATACTTCAGGAAAGCTCAGTGTGGAGAATTCGGGATTACACAAATTTATCAATCCAAGGACTCCTCAATAAAACGCCATAGGAGCCTTTTGGGGAGATTTCACTGATTCAGCAGTTGTTGGCTGCAACCTGCTCTGTGGGAAACACAGTTCTGGGGATGTGGCCAGGGACAACGCAGGTTCCCACCCTGGGGGAGCTTCAGCTTGGAAAGTAAATATCTTGACTGTGCTACAACTGTGATTTAATTCCCAAATGTGGACATTTCACAAATGTATTATAAGATGTGAAGTGTACCTTTATCACAGAACAAACAAGAAGAAGCCAGCGAAGCCCGTGGGGCTACGGAGCTTTAAACTAGATTAAAAGCAATTATTTACTGAAATAGCCAATAACACACTCCCTGACCTACAAGGTGCCCGAGCCTCCTTTTCTTTTATCGATTCAATTTCTTCATATTAAATGTGGACAAACATGGAGCATTGTCATGGAAAACCAGCACACTGGTGAATTAGAAAATGATCTGAAAGCACTAAAAGTGCAGGTGATGAATCCGTTTTGACATGCTGCTTTCCTGTTGACTTTGCAGCCATTGAATTTGCTGCTGATCTGAAGTATATTTCATAAAAAGCTGCTTCACTAATAAAGATCAGACAAGGATTTCTCTTATTAAGTCTTGGATAACAAGGGAAGATGTGTACGGGTTATTGTGGGTGATTTCTAACTGCTGTTTGTCACACATGAGTGAGATTACATACATAAATTAATCATCACTGCCCCTGGATGCATTTTGCAAGTTACCTTAAAAACTCATTTTAAAAAAGCATGCAGAAAGTCTCATCCATCATCTTCATCTGTTGCTTTTTCCCTCCATGACCCGGCATGGCTTCACACCGTGATATTCTTTTTTGCTTTTGTTTAAAACAACCACCTTTAAAAAATAAGTTTTCAAACTAGGGATTAGGGAATTAATTACGTGGTGACGTGGTGCTCCTTACATTTCAACAAGTGGGAGGAAAGCGGGAATTTTAAAGTGGGTGAATCACGGGGGGATTAGAGGGAGCCACAGCACCTGGAGATGGAAGCGTTCATAGTGGATTGCATGGCTTGTTCTGAAACACTTCTGCTTCTGCTCTTTGAAGGCCAAATGGTGGAGAATAACTTATTTAGCTGATGCACAGAGAGCAAAAAGAGGGATGACAGGTGACAGGGTGCGGATTGGTAAAGGAGCAGATGGATTCTCCTCTGAGAAGTGGGCTAACCTTCTCCTTGCTTCCGAGGGGAATGCTAGGGAGGAGATACCTCAGGCTCTGGCTCAGTCCTTCCTGGGTCTTTTCCTGCTGAAGCCAAGTGCATATAGATTGGTTTTCAAGTTTCCAGGTGGAAATGTCTTGTCCAAGAAGCTGTTATGCACAAGACATTTCTTTTTCACAGTCGGCCATTCTCTAGTTTGTTTTCCAAGAGCCCACTAGATCCTGGGTAAAATTGTAGATGCTGGGGGCTCTGTGAGGGGCCAAGACATCCTACAAATGAAGTGGTATTTGGAACAATATTGCTGCTGATCAGAGAGTCAGAGAGAGATATAGGTGCCGATGTCACTGAAATCCTGATCTGGCCACGTTTGAACGAACCTATTTAAGCCCAACCTCACTTCCTCAAGTTCTTAAATTCCTCTTGACAACAAGCCAGTCTGGGTTGAATTTCTGTCACTACCAAAAAGATCTTGGCTAACAGGAAGTGAACTCTGGTTAAGTGAGAGCAGCTCCTGGCATGTGGTTAGGACACCTTTGAGGGTCATTGTGGTTTTTACTGTCACTGTGGTAATTCCCCAGGGGCTGTGACCCTCCAACTTTTACCATTCCGGAGCACAGCCTCCTTCACCAGCCTCAGGAAAGAAGCAGGCTCCTGCAGCAAAGTGGAAAGCTGCTCCTGCTTTCCTGGTCTAGGATCAGGACAGCTGAAAGTTCCAGGTTTTGTTTTTAAAAATAGTTTCGATCAAATCCTGAAATTTTCCAGGGGTTCACAGTTGGAAGAGGTTTTACCTAATAAGAAATCACTCTATTCCTCATGCTAAAGAAGTGATTGTCGATGCACTGTGGATTTTTGCCTCTCGGCGAGTGGTAGCTGGGGGAGGACTGCAGAGTCATCTGTTGTTTTTGGATGTCTAGCACTCAATGTCCCTTTTTCTGGTGACAGCATCTCTCTTTTCCCCTGGAGACCCGTGGTAGTCTCAATCTGTGAGGTTCAGGTGGACTGACCAACATGCATAGATGGAAGCCGTGCTACAGCTCACACCTGCATCATTCCGAGGAGGACGAACACTTTCTGGAGGGAGCAGGGACAGGTTTGAGAATTCTGAGGGTTCCATCTCATCTCTGCTAAGATTGCTTCTTGGCTGTTAAGGCTCCATTCACATGTATGTAGTGCCTGAATATATCCACAACAAATGGGGAAGGATGATGTGATAGATTGTTTGTAAAAATGGCCAAAATTCTCCATCCCTCCTCTCTCATTCTCTTTGCAATGTCATCTTTCAGCCATCCTCCCCAACCCCATCAAGAAGTGAGGTCCACATCTTTACCCCTTGAATCCAGCCTGGCTTAGAGCTTGCTTTGGCCAATGGAATATGGTGGAAGTGATGCTGAGCTTGTCCCAAGCCCAGGCCTCAAGCATCCTTGGGGCTTCTGTCTGCTCACACTCTCCCTCCCTTGTCTCTGCCTCAGCAACCTACTGCCTCTGTGTGGAAAAGCCTGGCATAGCTTAATGAAGAATGGGGACCACGTGGAGGAGAGCCTGATTGTCCTGGATGAGTCCCTCCTGATCCAGCCTACAGCCAGATGCCCCCCAAACACGTGATGGAGCTCAGTCAGGTGAGCATGAGCGAGCCCAGCTGAAACCAGAAGAACCACCCAGCTGACCTCTACAGCAATGATAAATATTTACCAGATTAAGCCACTTACTTCTAGGGTTATTTGTTACACAGCAAACGCTGACTGTTACAGACGTCATCAGTTAGGCTTATTAGGTACTAAATTGGTGGCGTGGTTAAAAGTTGTATAAACATAATTTAACTCCACACATCCCAGGAAGCTTTGGAAGGTCACTGACTTTGAAAGCGCAAGGTATTCTTGTTGCCATGGATACCTCCATTGAGACATTAGAGTGCAAAGAGAGAAACCTAGTGTTGCCTTGACAACAGGTTTGCAAATCCGAGTCTGGTAAGGCAAAAGACTACAAAGAATAGGAAGAATCAGGAGCGGGGGGTGGGGTGGGGGGGGCAGAAATTAGCCTAAAGAAGCTTCACTTCTCCCAGTAAAACAACAACTTGCCTCCATGCAGTTGAGGGTCTGTTAGAAGAAGCACTGCCTGAATAGGGAGCTATAAAGTGAACAACAGGAAGCTCTTCTCTTTTCGTGGCCCATCTCCACAGCAGGAGAAAAGTCTCACAGCCAGGGAGCAGCATGAGGCACTGTCACTAAGTGCTTCCTTTAAGAGTTCACAGTTTGCTCTCAGCCAAGCTTCATTCCAAGAATTGGAGTTTTCTCAAGCTGGAAGGGGTCTGAACAGCATCGAGTCCCTTACTCATCCTCTCCATCAGCTGGAGGGAAGCTGAGGTCCTGAGAGGGAAGAGGGCTGCTCACAGTCAGACGTGCCATTAGGATTTTAGTCTAGTCTAGTGGGTAAGCACTCAGGACCCGGAGTCAGACATACCTGGGTACAAGTCCTAGTGACACCATTTACTAGCTGTGTGACATTCTGCAAACCAGCTGACCTTGTACACTCTGTAAGATGAGGATATCACTAATGTCAGCCTCAGAGGGTGGTGAGAACTCAGCGAGCTAATGCGTGAGAAGCACTTAGCACAGTGTCTAACCTGCAATGAGCTTGCAATAAATTGCTTGTTACTCTTTTTACTATGATCACGTCACTCTGCCTCTACTCTTCAGACTCATCAAAGTAGTACCAAGGAGGCCCGACTGGATCCAGAGTCTTCCTCGAGAGGCTTGGTGGTCCATCTTCGATGCCCTGTGTCATTTTCTGTATCATACAATTGGATGTCACAGTTTCTAATTTTCAAAGCCATTGCATTTTCTATTTCCTCTTCCCAACAGCTTGGCTGGGCAGGCAGGAGGGGCAACAGTAGCTTCATTTTTTTTTTTTTTTCACTTTGTCAGGGAGGAAATTGAACCCCAGGGAGATTTGACGATCTGCCCGAAGTCCCTGGGAAGTTTCCGGCCGTTCTAGGGCTAAAGCTGAGCTCTCTCGACTGCATCTCCTTCCCACCCCCATGTGGCTGCCCCCACAGAACGGCGTGTCCACGTAGATGGCCCAGATGTTGGGTTTAAGGGAGAGAGAGAGAGGAAGTTTGGGGCATCTGTTTATGAGAGAAAATTGTCAGCCGTGCGTGGAAATCTTATGCATAGCAAATAAATGATGGGCAAATACCCACTTGCATATTCAGAGGCACATTTCAGATGTGAACATCCTGTCTCACCAAAGCAACCCCAGCTAAGAAGTTTTGTTGTGGGGGGAGGACTTTTTCCAAGCCTTTGTTTTGGTGGAGTCTCTGTGCATGGCCTGATGTGATGAGGTAGGGGTTGACCCAGAAGTCTAAGGAGGCCACCACCCCGTAGGAAAGAGGAGCCTGCAGACAGCAGCGCTGGGGGTTATTGGGGACCCCCAAATGGGGAAGGGTAGGGGTGTACATAAAGTCAGCAGCCCTGTCTGTATTTGACAAGCAGGGCAAGGAGGACGAAAGCTCAAGGAGAGCGATGTGGAGGTGACTCGATGACAGGGTCAGTGCAGGTGAGGAGAGCGGGCTACCCGTTAATTCCCAGGAGCGTGGTGGTCTTCCCAGCCCCGCCACACAGCTGTAAGGGATCTTGCTTTCTGATGAATGTCTCTAATCGGGGCATTTGCTTTATAGCAGCATTTCTGGGCTCCAATCAGGCATCTCGTCCACAGAACATAAACCAGATTAAGAAGCTCTGTGCAGCATATTTGAAGTCAGTGCCAGTTGAAAGGATATTAAAGTTCTGACTTCAAACTAGCTGAGCCAGGGCACACGGAGCAGGCAATACAGGTCTTCCTCCTGCCAGGAGAACCTTTTCCATTCCCCGTGACGGTCAGGGTTGTTGGTTCAGGTGTGGGGACAAGGTGGGGTGGCCTCCTATGCAAAATAATCTGTGTTGGTGGCAATGTCAGGTGATCCTCCAGCAGCTCAGGAAAAATAAACTCTTCCTATGGCTGTTTCTTTTCCCTTGGCTCTGAACGGGAGGAGGACACTGGGCTGCCTGTTTGTGTTCTATAACTCTAGCCTCCAGGGTCATTCCTCAGGCCCCATTGCCAAAGAAAAATCATGACTGTGTTGGTGGTCTCATCTGGCCTCCTGTTACCATAGGCTGGCTGGAAGCACAGCTGGGTACAGAGTCTGATTTTGAATAAAACTGTCACCTCTTTTGTCCCTTGGCAACATCCCTCAGTGCCACATAGGGTTTGTTTTTGTGTACCTGATTCACCATCTGTCTCAGGGTTAGCAATCCAAGTTCTGAAATCATTTGGGCTTCACAAGCATGATTAGCTGTTGATCTGGCTTCTGTTGACTCTAAACCCCGGGTTGGGGGATTACAGATGCACCTAAGCAGCCTGTGCAGTGGGGCCAGATGCCTCCATGGGTACAGCATGTCCAGGATTGTTGCTGTTTGTTGCTGGGCTCACCACCCCAACAAGGAGGAGGTCACGCAAGGGGACACAGAACTTGTAGTCAGAAAACAGGTGTGCTTGTCAGGTTGCCTCTCTGAACCGCAGATCTCTCTCGTGTAAGGGACTGGCCCCTTCGAGAGGCTCAGTGTAGAATAAAATGGCTCTTATTGCAGTGGGTGTGGCAGCCCGCCTCTCCTTGTCTTTGCTGGTAGAACCTCTAGTTGGTTTAAGTGTCCACCCTCCTCCACGCTGGGAGTGTGTTCAGGATGAGGATCCCATCCCCGTGCAGGGGGTCAAGTCTGATGGGAGGCAATCATTTCTGGCTGTCACGTTCCTTAGACCAGGGCTCAGTCTGGAGTGAGCAAGCATTTTAGGCCTGGCCAATGAGGCAAAGATAATGTCTGCTGGGGCCTTCTGAAAAAAATTTCCTTAAAAAGAGGCTCAAAGAGGGGAGATGTCTCTTTTCTTTGGCTGGACATTATTAGGACTAGAGGTGATGCCTGTGACTACATGAACCATCTTGTGACTGTGGCAGCCTGGGGACAGAGCTTGCACACTAGGGATGCAAGATCAGGGAGGTATTAATAGAAGGCACCTGGGTCACTGCTAGGAGCTGTGGCTCCTGCACACTTGACATCCCTGGCCCCGCCCTGCTGTAGAACCTCTTGATATGTGAAATAATACAAAGTCCTTATTGTTTCAACCATTCGGAAGTGCTGGCTTCTGTGACTTGCAGATCAGTGCACCCTAAATGCCTTGCTCCTCCAAGTGGCCCCAGCATCATCACCATGGGGAGCTTGTGGGAAATGCAGACTCTGAGGCTCCCCCCGTGCCCCCGCAGCATCACCCTCTGTTCCTTAGTGAGATCCTCAGGCACTTTGTGTGCATACTGCAGTCTGAGAAGCTCCGCCGATGGGTTTACTTTTTGTCCAACATGTTTTGTTGAGGAGGACTTGGGTTTTAATAGTAATGGGTTCAATTTTTTCTCAAGACAGAGTAGGAGGTGTTAGCTATGCAGATTTTGAAATCTCAGCTATGTCAAGGAATTGGGGAAAAGCCCAGGAAGGAAGGTGGAGGGCCTAGCTCATCTCTTAAATGAAATTATGAGAGAGTTGTTTAGTAGTTCCTGCTCTACCCAACCATTTTTCATTGACTCGTGTTTGGGTACCACATTGATTTTAATCTAAAGCTGTGAGTGCAGTAAAATCTCATTAATTCAGGCCTCACCAATTTTGAAGTGATAATTTAAATGGAGGCTGGGCTGGCTGGCGTGAGAGCAGGATTGAGAGCAAACTGTTCTGAAGGACTTGGGCTCACCAGGTGGGTGCAACGAGATGCTTCCAATTATAAACGACCCTTGGTGTGTTTGAGTTCAGCAGGAACCACACTTGGAAATCAATCTATCAACAAAGAGTTATTGAGTGTCCCTTATGCAAACGTACCCGGCTGGCAGAACACACTTGGTTAGAAGTTACTTTTAATCATTACCCATGCTGGAAGTAACAGATTTCTTTAGGAAATGCCGTTTCTTAAGCAGCCTGTGCTCCTATCCTAGGCCACCTTCCCCATGTGTGCCAGAGCACTTTGCTCTCGAACGGCCCCCTCTCTCTCCCCCGGTGTCAATTCCCCTTTACTCTCCAAGGTGTTTATAACTTGCTGTAGGAACTCTTGGATTGTAAAATAACATAAAGTCCCTATTGTTTCAGCCATTTGGAAGTGCTGGCTTCTGTGACTTGCAGATTAGTGCACCCTAAATGCCTTGCTCCTCCAAGTGGTCCCAGCAGCATCACCGTGGGGAGCTTGTGGGAAATGCAGACTCTGAGGCTCTGTTCCTAACAAGATACCCAGGTACTGCGTGTGCACACTGAAGTTTGTTTCTATGCTCTTAGAAACAGCTCTCCGATCTTGATTCCATACTCTCCTCCAGCCACGCCCTATTTTTCTGCTTCGCTTTGTCTCCTCCAAGAGTTGCCTGCTCCCGTCTCTAGCTGTCCTCCATTTTCATTCAAACGCACTGACATTCAGCTTCCACGGCCTCCCCCTTTTGATACAAATGCATGGCCTGAGGCCGCACATTCACGGTGTCTCTTCTCCACTTGCTGTCCCCATCAGCCACCTTGCACATGGTTGGTCACGCTCCTTTTCTGGAAAGACTTTCTTGCTTGTCCTCTAGGACAAACTCTTGATTATCTGTGAAGCGTGGGTCACTCTGGCTCCGTCTTCTTTGTGGCTTCTCCTCTTCTGAGCTCTGGGTGTTGGGTCGCAGGACCCGTTCCTCCCTCTTTCCTGGGTAAGCGGTGGAGAGTATCGCTTTGAGCCAGTGGGCTCCATGTTTATATTTCTGCCTGGGTTGCTGCCCCACCCAACTGGTCCCCTCACTGCCCCACTGCCCCTACCTACCTCATGACTCCTCATCTGAAGGGGTGC